TTGTCAGCAGAGCAGAGTCCTGCTCCTCTCCGGCTCTCCATGTCTCCAGAAAAACATCTCTCCAGCTTAACCACAATGATTTGCAAGTGTGTGACAAGCCGTGGGACAGGGACATCACTGCACAGAGTGTCAGCCTTTTCATTGGGCCCCTTTTCAAAGCAAGATATTGCAGCAAGGGGATCTCTCTGAGCTGCTTTGCTCTGAAATTTACCCGTCAGCAGCCAGGAATGGACCCCATCCCTATGGACACCTCCACAAAACATATGTTGGCTTTGGGGGTAGCTGCAAAATCATTCTTTAAATGCCATTTTTGGGTGGATTCAACCCATTTTTTTAGATTCAGCTGGAAAAAAAAGGGTTTTCTGCATAGCCAGATTCATTACTCAGGCTCTTTGCTGTTTTAACCTAAAACTTACAATAATGTCTAGCATCCAAGGAGTGCTTTTACGTTTCAAAGCTCGTTGCGAACTGTCTGAACCCAGGTGTGTTAGCTCAGACTAAGCAGCTGTCGAAATCTGTGGGCCTGATTCTGCATTGGCAATCCTTTTGCTTTCCCTCCTACACCTCCTGAGAGGGAAAGAGCACATCAGGGGTGACGGAGAAGGTAACAATTTTTGGAATCTGGAAAGCTGGTGAGTCTGGAGCAGAGATGGAGGGAACAGTGGTGGAGAAACCCCACAGACATGGCACAGCCTGCGGTGGTTGTGGCAGGTTGCATTGCCTGCGCTTGGCACAGCATTAACATTTGGTGTGGATCTGCCTGGGAGCTAACAGAAACTCTCCCTGGCTTTTATCCCCTGATGGGATCCATTAAGTGTTGTGGTCCCACATCTGTGACCGCGGTACGTGTGTGGGTGTGGGAGCGAATGCATGTGATGGTCAGGATAGGCTGCGGTTTTAGCCCTGGCATCCCTGGCTTAGTCGGGGTCTTCAAAGGAGCGAGGGACCCGAGCCCCCGCTGATGCTCTCCCCTGCTCGCCTGGGTGCTCTCAGCCCCTGCGTGCCGTGGTGGGTGAGCCGCGGGCGGGCTGAACCATGCGGGTGCTTGCGTCCCCCAACACGGTCTTGGAGAGTGGGGTATTGGCAATAAACCATTGCGAGGGCGTTAGAGAAAGGGGGGTGCTTGGGGAGCGACGGCCACGTGCTCAGAGGGCTCTTGTGCCATGCAGCGAGGGCTAATGCAGATGCCAGAGCTGCTGAAGGCTGCCCTGCTTCCCTCGCACGCCTGGGCTCCCCTGCTGCGAGCTCTCTAGCGAGGGGTGTTTTTAAAAAAGGACCGATTCCTAAATTGCAGATGGGGAAACTGAGGCACAGCAATGAGCCCGGGGGCATGGAGAGGCTACGGGTAAGCTGCAGCCCAGGGCTCCCAGCTGCGTTGGCCGGCAGGTCCGCTTGGGAGTGACCCAGCTGATGCTCACAGCCCCAGATGTGCAGGTCGAGGCTCCAGCTCCAGCTCCAGCAAGGGTTAAAGCAGCAGCTGCGAGACAGAGCCTGCAGAGGCCCCTGAGCTCCCCAGGAGGAAGATGAGCATGGCAAGGAGACTGTGCTTCCTCCTGCGTGAGGCTCCCCCACCGAGGAAATTGTCAATTAGCGACATAGTTGTAACCACACAGCACAGATTCCCATGATCTGCTGGCTGCTCAGCCAGAAGTCCCCATTATTCGTGTTTATGTCCCCTGGGAGCCCAGAGGCCCTGCGAGATCAGGACTCCACTGGGCTGCTGGCAGGACCGCAGGGGTTTATTATGGCTTCAAGCACTAGCAGCAGCCACGAGGGCTGGGAACCTGATGCCTGGTTCTGTGCCTCAGTTTCCCTATCTGCAAAGCATGGAAAGGCTGGGGGTGGAGGGGGAGCTTGCTGGGCAGGGGCTGAAGGAGGGGCAGAGGGAGCTGAACCGGGTTCCTGCAGAACGCCGGCACTGCAGCCCTCCCCATTACTGCCTTTTGGGTGGGCATCGCTGCCCCCCTGCCTCTGACAGAATCAGGCCCCAGATTCATTTTGACCCTTTATTTCCAGAGGTGCTGCAAACCCCCAGCCCTTCCCACATGGGAAAAAGGCATTCCCTGCCCTCAGCAGCTCCAAAGGGACAGAGAGGGGATGGAGCAGGAAAGCACGGAGAAACCCACTGCCACCAGACACAGGCAACTCCCCGGTCGCAACACCGACGACAGAAATGTGGCTGCTGACAGATCTGCCTGCTTTTACTAGTCTGCACAGCGGGGTTGCACCAAAGGGGGGACCTACAGCCGTGCATCCCCCTTCCCTCTGCCCGGCCACCCTTGTGCACACCACTTTCTGCCTCAGTTTCCCTAGCAAGACGATGAGCAACACCAGCCCCGTACCAGTGAAGCACGGAGTCTGGCCGGGGCAGCTCTCAGCCCCCGGCACGTTGCATGTGCATGCACCCAAAAGCGTGCTGGGCAGGTCAGCTCACACCATACCGGTGGCTGCTCACCGTCCTCTCCCCAGCCCCGACCTCTGGAGCTGCTGAATCATGTCTTGGGAAGCGGCTGCCGCCTGCCCGCGCCGCCCGGGCTCCCGGCGGCCTCCACGCATGACCCACTTCTCCCGGCGGCTGATGCCAGCTGGGAAACGCAGCCGGGAGAGCGGCGGCCGCCGGTGCTTCCAACCCTGGCCAGGTCTGCCCTGCTTTCACCAGGAGCGAGCTTCCCTGGGGAGCTCTGGTTGGGCTCGTCGGAGCTCGGTGCGGGGGGAGCAGGGCTCAGGGCAGCAGCATGAAGCCCTCTTTGGGGATGGGGTTTGGTGCTGAGGGGCCAGTTCGGCCACCGGAGCCATGGCACCGGGATGCAGGCAGGGTGCACTGCTCCAGCTGGGGCTGTTGGAGGGGATGGTAGCTCTCCCAAATTACACTGCCATCCCTGGGGACATGCACCAAAAGTCCAGACCTCACTTTAAGCATCCCAAGGAAGCTCTGGCTGAGGGAGCGGGTGGTGGGTTTGGGTGGGATGTGCCAGGGCATGTGCCATGGCCAAGCATGTAAAGGCTCCCAAGGAGCCAGGTTTCACCCTAGGAGCCAGCTCAGTCCTGCCCTGTTGGCACAGCGGGGGAAAAGCCCTCAACATGGTGCCACAACTATCCCTGGAAAAAAAAAACCCTGGACCAGAAACTTCTACTGGGAAAGTTTGAGTCGGGACCAGAGCTCGGCCACATGGTCTCCTCTGCTGCACCTCGCTGCCCCAGCCCTGCTCCGAGCCCGACTGCACACAGGGACACCAAAAGCAATGAACTGCTCTGGGTGAATCCCCCGTGGCATTGCCACGAGTACCTTGGTGCCAGCCACGGGCACCCGGCCACCCTCCCTGTGCTCACAGGCAGGGGGGCACCCAGCTGCGCTTGCGGATGGGGCCATGGCATGACCTGGGTGCTGGGCAAGGAGCTGGTCATGCACGGTTGCTGGGCAAGCCCCGTGCTAAAGCTCATGGGATGGGGAAAAGGGCAATTTTGCATCCCCTAGACCTCTGCCGTGTGCAGGCTTCAAACCCAGCCCAGGTGGGTTTGGTGTCCCCAGGCGTGGGGCTGTCGCACCTCCAGACCACCCCTGGCAGCTACATGGAGCGGGGCTGCAAGGGAATGGGCTCAGCCATCAGCTGGTTCTGAGAGAAGGAAATGTTCGAGGAGGCGGAGAGGGGACTCAAATGTCATTTTGGATTCTCTGCGGTGGGGTCTTGCTAGGAAAATCCAGTTGCAGTGCTGGCAGCGAGCCTGGAGGGGAACCAGCTCTGCTCACTGCACGTCTGGGGAGCCTCTGCTCTCTGCAGATCCCGTGGGCTCGGGGCGTTAGCTCTCAGCCTCTTGGAAAACTTTCGGATGATTATCAATAAACAGCGCATCCATCCAAGGGGTTCTCCGAGCACCCACAGTTCCCTGCTGCCAGGAGCAAAATGGGAAGGACACAACCCAGTCTCCTGTCTCCTATCTGGGGTGCCCGGGGTTGGGTCCAGGTGGGAGCCTGACCAGGGAGATCCCTGCCTTGCTGGTCCCCGGGATGGGTGGTGGGAGCTTTGTCTCTCCGGAGAGCATCTTTGCTGTTTGCCGACAGGTCAGCGCGGGCATCTCGCCTGCCCCTCTCCTCACCTTGCCTGTCCTCCTCTCCCCTCTTAAATAAGGGAAACGGCTTGCTGGCGCTGCACCCCACCGATACCCCAAACTCCCGGCATCCGCAGGACCCCGTGGGATTCCCGCTCAGCGCTTTCCCGGGGTACCCGGCCAAGGGTCGCCCGCCGCAGACAACGCAAGAAAACCCACCTGCCTCTGTTCCCCACCTCAAGAGCATCTCCCCTGTTTTGGTTTCAGGCACAGACACGGGGCTCATGAGCTGCCCGTCTCTGCCGCACAGCCCCACGCCGTCGGGCGATGCTCCGCACCCCGCTCCCGGGGCGGCTGGGTCCTTGCCCCCCCCTGCTGCCCCCCTTCTCCTGCCTGTGCCCCCCACACCCCCCTTCCACCGCCAACTTCAGCGCTCTCCTTCCCGCCGACGCTGCCGCCGGAGGGACAGATGGTGCCCTCGGAGACACACCTGCTTGGGTTTTATCTTGGCTCCCAACTTGCATTATTTCACCCGCCAGCCTGCTACGTACCGATGCCATCCGCACGCAGCTAACTCGGGGGGGGGGGGGGTTTTAAAAAAAAAAAAAAAACCCCAACCCACCCAAGCCCGGTGCTGCTCTCCCGCCACCTCTGCCACCCCCCCCAGCTCCGTCCACGGGCTAAGGTGACCTTTGCGAGGGAAGCAGCTTCCCCCAAAGTCCCCGGCAAGGCTCCCCCCGCTCCCCCCGCCGCCGCCACCCGGCTCAAAGGTGTGGAAATCAGAGGAGTGCTGTGAAACCCTCCCTGCTCCCAGCCAGCGAATACACCCAGCCAGCTCCCCACTCGCTGTCATTCATTTCAGTTCAGTTATATATATTGTTCTGCCTCTTTCTCAGCTATAAAGAGATTTAGTTGGATTTGCTGCCCCCTTTTTTTGTTTGTTTTTTAAATACCTGATAAGTATGGAGACCCCAACGTCCTCGCAGTTTGCATATACTCTGCTCCATGTCTCTTGAATAACCTTTTTTTCTGCGTCTGAAATCTCTTCACTTCTTTCCCATCTCTCAATCTCCATTTCTCCCTGGACTTTCTCCATGAAAAACAGCCGGCACAATCCTCCGGGAAGCCAGGAGGAGATGAAGAGAGATGTGTGTGAGCGGGTATATCCTGCGAGAAGAGACAAGGTGTTTGCTCAGCGGCCGTGCGGGTGCTGGCGGCTCTGCCGACGTGTGGATGTATACGTGTGTGTGCGAGCGCGGCTGCCTGTCGGCGTGTTTATATATGTAATTTAAAAAAATATCCTGGAGGTATGATGCATGCGATTAGATTTCAGATCTCCTAGTGCTGTCCATGGCTGTAGTTAGCTTCAGCTCGCCTCGGATGTGTGTGGCTGACTGATGGGGAACTGCCTAAAAGTAAAATATTCAAAGGCATTGCAAGACCAGCCTCTTTACCAACGTGTGAACGTGAGCTCACTTTCTCCCTCTCTCCTCCTCTCTCCCACTCCTCCCTCCTTCCCCTTTTTTTTTTTCTCTCCGAAAGGGAGGGATGAGGGAGATGTTCTGGGCAACATCAGGACGGTGCTGGGGGGGCAGGGGGAAGGTAGGACTGGAAGTTTTTATTTTCAGCACTTGTCAATAGCTCAGAGGAAATTCAGAATCAAAAGTGCAGAGTTAAAGTTATCCCAACCGCTGGCTGCGCTGAGCAATGCCTTGGCTCTCCCCCCTGCACTCCCTTATTTTGCAGGCAGTTGTGTTTTGAAGGACAGACCCTTGTTTGCCTCTGATTCTTGGGCTGCACGGAGAGTCGGGGCGAGAGGGGAGCGCGAGGCACCCCCACCAGCGAGCATCTCTCTGCCACCCAAAAGAGATCACGGTCTGTCCCACGGGGACTTTTTTAATGATGAGAATTTGCTCTCCCTTCTCATGGCAGGACCCAGTTGAAAGGGATCCAGAGTTAAGGCACTCGTGAAATGAATATATTATTGTTGTTCTGCAATTGCATCGCTCCTGGTAGCGTCTTGGCAGGGATGAGGAGCGCGGGAACACCTCCACGCCAGGTTTCCCGCTGCCTTCGTGTGTGCGCTTTTGGGCTGTTTTTTACCCAAATGCCATTTCCAGCTCCCAGAAAAACCAGCATATTAAACCCGCAGCACAGTCCATTTGCACAGAGAGAAGGAAAATACTACAGAGACTTGTAATAACCGACAATCCCCCAGAGGGGGATCAGAGACAAGAGAAGCAGCCTGGTGTGCACAGCCGCCTCCCGCACCCGCTGTGCACCCTGGCAGGGCAGACAGACAGACAGACAGACAGGCTGAGGTTAGACACCCAGGCAGGCAGCGGCTGGGGGGTGGCTGAGCCCCTTTGGGGGCTGGAGCTTTGTTATTGCGGATCTGGCGAGGCTTTTTGCTGTATTTCTCCTCCAAACCAACCTCGGCCACCTCCCCGTTAACAGCAGCCAGACCGGCGGTGTCAGCAAATTTGCTCTTGCAGATCTAACGAGAGCTGGCAGAGAAGATGCTGCCCACAGGTCCCCCACTGTGGGTCCCCTACCAAATTTGTGCTGGGACAGACCGGGGGCCCCAAGTGTCCATGAACCCCTTGGCTCGGGGAGACAAAGCTCGGCTCACCTGGGAGCTGCTGAACCCACCAGTGTGCAAACACAGCAGCATGGTCAGCCCTACCTGGCTGGAGGTCAGGCATCATTCAGGTCCCCAGTAACACCACCACCAGCTTCCAAATCATCAGATTTTCACAGCCAGCTTAAAGTTTGGATTTGCCTTCTGTCCATTAGCCACTGGGATTAGCACCCATGAGCCCCAGCTCAAATATTAACAACAATGTCCCCAGGTGGCCACCATGCAGCAGAGTAACCCCTCTGGACCCAGGATGGCATGACCAAGCTTATCTCCCTCCCTTAAAAATGCAGGGGAAGAGGCACTGCGCTTAGACCCAGCTTAAAACCAGAGCAAAACTGCAATGCAGCACTAACACTTTTAAAAAGGGAAAAACCTCAAATTCTGACAAATACAAGCACTCAGGCAACAATCTAGGTGGAGCATTGGTTAAGTTATTACTTGTTGTGTGTTTAAAGAAAAGGACTCTTCTAAGCTTTCGTACCTTGGGTCTTAGTCAATACCGGCTCACAGCTTGGTACCTCGTTACATGGTGAGCCTGGCTGCAGTGGGCGCTTCACCTCGCTCCCTGGCACCGGGAGGTGAAGGGTCTTGGCTCAAGAGTCTTCATTTAAAACATTAGAAAATATTAGAAAAGTAAGTGAGAAATCCCCCAGCCTTTCCAAGGTTTCTGCCTCCCTCTTTGGGGACATCACATCTGGCCCTGGCAGGAACCCAGCCCCGTTCCCACGTGCCATCCCACTCTGCAGACAGGAGACGGTGAGTAAAGCGGCGGCGATGCTCCGCTGCCTCAAAATCCCAAATGAACTCTAACAGCCCTGAACTTCTGCGTCTCGTCCCAGATGTGAGACATAAATCAGGGGCAGGAGCACAGGCACACGCCGTCATGCGCCAGCCGCCCGTTTCCATGGTTTCCCGCGACTATTGCTCTCGAGGGCTCAGGGTTAGGAGGCAACTTGTTCCAGAAGGAGAAAGATGCTGCGTTGACACCATTGCGGCAAAATCCCGGCTGGGGATTGCACTGGCAGGCAGGCAGGCAGCATCGCCCTGCCAGTCTGTACGGCCCCATAGTGACTCGGGTGACCCCCCCAGTCATTTTGGTGCAAGGTGCTGTGCAGAGGGAGGTGGCAGCCCTGAGGGCTGGGGTGGCATTTGCTTGCCTTGCCCAGCCAAGGTTGCTGCCTGCTGTCTCAAAGGGGAGCTCAGCCCAGTGCCCGCTGCCATGGCAGGGTGGCCCAGGGCCATGGGGCTCAGGGATGGGGACAGCGGACTTGGTCCCCACAGCCGGTGGGAAGGCTGAGATGGCATCAGCCTGGGTAATCCATATGGAAGAAATCACTCCATCTCTCTCAGATCCCAATTCATTTCAACACCCTGATCCCTCTCCCCTCTCCAGTCGAGCATCACAGCCCTCCTGCTTTCCACCTCCTTCCCACGGACCCGTTCCCTGTGACGGGGTGGCACTGCCTTGCCAGCCTTGCCAGCGGGGCCCCGTCCCTGCCGAGCCCGAGCCTGCTCCTCCCGCAGCTTCTGCACGGCAGGGAGAGATCAACTGTCTGTTCAAGCCGCCCTCCATTTGCACAGCCGCAGGGGGTGAGGACGGGTTTCCAGGCCCTCTGAGCCTTTGTTCATGGTGTGCTGTGTTCCTGCGGGGTCTGTACCCGCCTGCAGACGGCTTCTCCCACTCCCCCCCGTGCCCTCCCACATCGCCTCTCCTCCTCCCCGTGCGCTGGGTGCAATGAGAAATGTACTTGGCTCCCGATCTTCGAGTAGGAGGTGAAGGCAAAAAAACCCGAGACTTCAGCTCCACAGCGTGTGGGATGTGGATGATGGCAGATCCCCACCCTTGACTCCTCCACTGTCTCTGGGGCGAAGGCGGAAACCCCAAATCCAGACCCTCGGGGCTGAGCCCACCTTCCCTTGTGCGTGGGGACAGCCTTGTTATTCGGTTCCCGGAGAAAAGCGGGTGACTTCCTGCGCCTCCTGCAAAGTCAGCTCCCTGGGACCTTCTGACAAACACCATTAGTTGGGGTGACCCTGGGAAGAGACCCCGCGAGCTCCCTCAGGGATTGCCTTGGGAAGGAGCTGCTGGAGCTGCCCTAAGCCCATGATGCTGGTGTGATACTGGGAGTCCAGCGAGGACCCCTTCTCCAGACCCTCGAGACTCCAACCTGGCCAGAAGAGGAGCAGTCCTGGGATTTTAAGTGAAATAAGGCTGAAGGGACCGGTGTGGTTAAGCCCAAGGCATCCAGAAAAGCAGCCCTGACTCTGCCCCTTTCCCCTCTGAGCTGGACAGGGTGGGAGGTGGAAGATGCTGGTAGGGCTCGTCGTCTTTTTTGCTCCCACCGACGTGGCTGAAGGCTATTGCAGGACACACGTGTGTGCCAGGTTGGATGTTCCTCCTTCGTCCTCCTCCTGGAGTCACTCCGGGCTGCTGCGCTATCTCACCCGGAGATGTTGGACTTGTCACCCTGAACATTGCTGAAATGAAGCCCCTGGTTGCCAGCCCGGCTGACCCTGCATTGCCCCCAGCATGCAATGCCTCTTTCTCTCCCCCTTCCTAATCCAGCCCTGCTGCCAACTTCAAAGTCCTGATCTGAAAAGGAATAACAAGACTTTAGGAAATGGCTTTGCAGTGCCTGCTACCCGGGGAGGGAAGGATTTAGCCTAAAGCCTATATAAATGCTCTGTACTTATTGCAGGTTTCCTTCCCCCGGCTTCCCTGATCCCAGGAGACCCGTGCACAATCCTGATGCTTCAGCTCTGCACGGGCAGCACCTGGGGCCTGTGAGACATCACTGCAGGAACAGGCTGGAGGACAACACGCTGGGGGGGTTAAAAGGGGCTACAGCCAACAGGACCCCCCAGATCCAGCTGGGCTTGCATCACTGCCTGCATCTCCATCACATGGGGGTGATAAGCCCATGCAGGATGTTGTGGGCTCCCAGTTTAATCACGCAGCCATCATCTGCGTTGCTGGCACACTCAGGCGCTAACTGACTCATAAAGACCAGTAGTATCGAGAGACTGGGATTCCCCCAGCTCCATGTCCTCAGCACTGCTGGTAAGAGCTGGGCAAGGGAGGTGACAGTGCGGGAGCTGCTGTCTCCCTCCCCGACCCTGGGCAGCCCCAGGGAAATGAAACCCAGGCTGCTTGTGCAGGGCAAAGCCGGGGGGCCGACACTCTTCCTCTGATTGAAACCAGATCTCAGGCGGTGCTGCCGGAGCTGGTGGGGAATGCGTTTAAACCAAACCAGCCCACGCTCTCCTTCTTCCATTGAAAGAGGGTTTGTCTGCTTTGCGGTCCAAGTCCAACAGATGTGGCTTTGTGCAGAGACCGAGGTTTGCGGTACCACCGAAGGAAACCCCCCAGTGGGACCCTGCCCTGAGCCCCCGGCTCCCAAAGGGGACCCCCAACCCCTGAGGCCACCCCGAGCTCCAGCTCGCCACCCCCACGTGTGGGAGCAGGATGGTGTGGGA